ACGAACTTTTCTGTGCTGGCGTTAAAGTCTCTGAAGTGGCATGCCTTTGTGCTTCGCGTGCCACTTCGATCGGCGAAAAACGCGATTTGCCTTTGCAAATACAGACTGACAATACAATTTTCTCGGGGAACCACCCCCCCCCCCACCACCCTCACTTTCGAAGTGTCTGGATCCACCTGTGGAAGACCTTTGATGCAACTTGGACGAATGCTCATAATTTTTAGCCCCAAAAAATATCCCTTCTAGGGAACAAACGATTCCGAGAATTTTTTTTCGGCCCACCTTGTAGTAAAGTTTCATTTAACGATTTAGTCATTATCCTAACAGGTGTTGCAAGATTTCTTTTTGACATTTCGTGTGAAATTTCTCGATCCAAAACAAACATTTGATCCAATGAAAAAAGTAAAATGTGAGGAGAAAATCTTTATTGTTGCGATGTAGTGAACCTTCTTTAGCTTTCTTCAGGTGAATCCTATGTTTTGCTCTTAATCACTATGGGTAATTCTAGCTTATTAATGAGTTCCACAAGGCAAGAGCGAATGCACTCGGTGCTTTGTTGTGCAATAGTGCAAGATGTTTTCGCTGGCCGTGGCAGCGGAGGTCAAGAAACTGGACGAATTATAAGCAGAATTGACGATTCTCTCGCCGCCGGTTGGAAATCTTGTGAAGGCAACGGCTCTGAAAACTGTCAACAAACCAATGGCAGAGTCACATTACGGTCTCATCGCTGATGAAATGGGGCTTTCGTTTCTAGAGGTTTTATCTTGAGTTAAAACTCTTTTTGAAATCCTCCTTCCAGACATCTATGTTTAGGATCATGTTTAAAAAATAAGTCAAGGTCGTATCTCTCCGGTAAAATTAAAAAAATATCCTCCTGTGACTTTTTGCCAGAAAATTTAACCCCTCCCCGCCGCAGGGTATCAAAGTTCCATGAGAAACAATTTTAATCGTTTTTCTCTCAACCGATTAAGATTTTGAATATGGATGGTGGAAAACCTAATAGCAGCAGTACTTAATTAAGGGGCTTGAAAGTCAAATGGGATAAATGGAGTTTTTGAAAAGGAGGATTATTAATGATTTCAAGTAAGACTAGTCATAAAATAAATTCTGTGAAAAATTCACTGCTGAAATCCAATTATTAAGCATGAAAAAGTGAGCTTGAACTTCCGTTCCGCCATAAGACTTCACATAATTTTATACCTTCGAACACTTATTTCTTGAAATAGCAGAAACTGCACTGATCTCACTTGTGTTTCAAGTCCCTTAATTCATAAATACCGGTTACCGAATGTGGGATACAATTTTAATCCACAGGAATCCTTCAGTTTTAATGAAGAAAATCTAATTATAATTCTATGAAAATGTCCATATTAATGTATGGGTATGAGCGAATTCAGTCCTCAGGTCGTGTTTAGCAAAAAGAATTAGTGTAGCTCTCTCGAAAGTTTAATGATTAGCTTATCAAAAATAGTTCTATGGAAGATGCTGCATTAGGGCTCGTAAAAATCTCTTTCATGGTATCAACAATCTAAATTGAATGCTTCATAGATTAGGTAACTAATCTTGTATTTGATAGGAAGGATTTCAAATTTGGTCACTGAATGACTATTCATTTTGTATGTCTCGTCAGTTAGTCAATTTCTACCAGAGAGCTAGATTAAACTGCAGAAGGAAACCGTTATCAGTCACGGTGCTTTTGTCTTCGCAAGCAGTAGGAGAACCCACTCCATGACAAGAAATCAGGTGCGAATTGATGTTTGTGTCATGGAGAGTTCCGCGAGTTATAGTTAAAAACCATCTATCCTAAGACCTATATTCGTATCTAAAGAAATAATCTCTTGGGAAAGGGTAACTAAGTAAACCGTCTTCAGTCTGACCTATTTCGACAGTCAATGTTTTGCGAATGAAGTAATTACAAAGAACCCAGTTTTGAGGAAAACTGGAAGGAAGTACTTAAAGAAAGTACTCGGAAGGACTGAGTAAATCCCTTCCGTAACCGGGAATGAAGAGATCATGTATTTTCGGCTCACCGTTGTTGTCCGAAAGAGCACTGAAAGTGAAATTTTCCTCTTGTCAGGAGGGGTAATTAGCGGTATGATGGATCGTTAGCTCTGGAGTACGAACCGATGTCGGCGACGGGATTTTTGGAATTTTCATATTTGATCACACCGTCAATATTTTCATCAATATATTGGTCATTCAGTCAATGAAAACCGGAAATGACGACACATCATTCCTTTTCCGGCAATATTCAGCAGCCCGCTGAATATTGATAGACTGGTCATTACGTCATTTCCGGTTTATACTGACTGCGCGACTTCGAAGCATTTACAAAAATATTGATATTAAGAGCAAGGCTCCTGTCTCTGAAAATACTTGGCCCCCCTCCACTGAAAATTACTCGTTTGCAGATCGTTATGACGTCATGCAAGATTGCCTGATCGAGAACCTACTGTATTCTTGCACACATCGGCAACGCTGATTTCTAGTCACTCGATTCACCGGCGGAAAACTAAATCAGCGAATTTTATACCCGAGGGCACTTAAAAGGTCTTTGACGCATGGATGAAAACTTCTCGCCTCAAACAGCTTAGCCGGAAAATTACATAATTTTCGCTGACGTCCGAGACGTGACGACGTAGCGTGCGCCGTCTGCGTCGCGTCATGACGCGTCCGCGGATGCGGTGGCATTGACCTCCCAAGTTCGTTGCGCCGAAACCGAAGACAAACCAATGTTTACTCATTTACTCTCTGGAAAACCCGACCGCCGCCGCGGCAAATGACGGCAGGAAACTCGGAAATAATAAAAGGAAATCCTCCGCTCGTGCGAGGGTGTCAAACTTCCGTGATTACCGCCAATCAAATTCGGTTCGCATAGCTTGAGCGGTTTTTGTTAAGGCAGACACAATGCTGCCGTGCTAAGGAAAAACGCCGTATGAACCTTCAGGCGTTACCAAATTTGCTTTGATAAAACGCGAATTTCCTGGTAAATTTACGAATATTTTCCTCCCAATTTTTCACATGATTTAGTTAGCAATTTTATCTAAAGATTCTGAGAATATAAAAGGAAAATGTTTATAACTTTCCTAAAAAATAAACATTTTATCGAAGGGAATTTGGCAACTCTCGAATGTTCATACGACGTTTTTCCTTAGCACGGCAGAATGGACAACTATTCACGCATCAGTGAGGTAAATTAAATACGTTGGTAAATGAAATCATTTTGTTGTGTGTAGCAAAAACTACTAATCCAAGTAGAGCTATACTTGGAGGTGAGTGATTTTTCTCAGGCAAGTATACATACCATACAATGGGCTACTATTTGCTCATCAGTGTTGTAAAATTGCATATTTCGTTAAATGAAGGCATTTTGTTGTGCGTAGCAAGAACTACTGATCCCAGTAGAGCTATATTTGGAATTGAGTGATTTTTGCTCTGGAAAATACAATGGGCTACTATTTACTTATCAGTGTCGTAAATTGCATACTTCGTTAAATGAAGGCATTTTGTCATGCATAGCAGGAACTACGAATCCAAGAAGGGCTGTATTTGGAGTTGAGTGGTTTTTGATGAGGCAGGCGCAATAGGCAACTATCCGTGCATACGCGTCGTGGATTGCATACTTTGTAAAACGAAGGCGTTTTATTTTGCGTAGCATAACTGCTGGTTTAAAGTCCAGGTAGAGATTTGCTTTGGTGAGTATGCTCACTGCATCTGCGGTATGAATATTAAAAACCTATAAATCATAATGTAATATTAAATTATTAATAAAATCAACGGAGGAGGAATAGGTGTAAATGTGATAAATATACAATACAAAAGTGGTGTAAAATTATACATATCACTCAAATACTCACGAGGGAAACGATTTATCGGAATGAGTGAAGGATCGAAAATGGGTTGCGGTGGGAAACGGATTTGGCTTGAGATGACATTCTATCGCGTATCTAAACCAATGACTTGATGAGCCGCAAATTCGACGAGAAGCGATGGTGGCATGCCGGAACTCGCTTCCGCACGCGAAATATGTGGGCAATTCTCTGTCATCTACTATTTCCAGAATGTTTCTCCAAAATAAACCACTAAGCAGGGTCCTACCCATATTTGCCAGAAGGTAACTCAAGGCAGTTGGAGGATCACATTTTGGAGGATGAGTGATTTCAGAACGTTTTCCTGTTTTTTTGTATCAGCCAAGCTGGCAAGAAAAATAAGAAAAATAGGTCAACATTTTTCAAAAAGAGCTTCATTTTTTAGAGGATTTTCTGGGAGAAGCCTTACCAATGGGAGGATCTGGGGAGCTCATCCAGCTCAAAAACATGGCTCGGAGGGGGGGGGGCGGAGAGGGGCTTTCTTACGTACATAAGGAGTCCGAGACGCTTCGTCAGGAATATATTGAAGAATTAAGTCGTCCTTGAGGTAATTTTGAGCTGTACTATTACCAAAAAATTCATTGCAAAATAAAATTTCAAAAACTGAATAAAAAATATTACAAACCCAACTTTACCCCCGGCTGATTTTGGCGCCAGATATAAGAGTAGTTGCAGTAGCCGCCAAAGGTATGGTTGATCCAACCACACTTTCGGCGGCAGACTCAACCGTAACTCTGACAGGTTCAACTACTCTTATATCTGGCGCCAAAATCAGCCAGGAGTAAAGTTGGGATTATGTGATAATTTTTTTTCCGTGAAGAAGAAAAATATGTCACAGACTTGTTACATATGAAAATCCCTCTAATTTTTGGGGATAGACCGAATATATTTCCAAGGGAGCTTGGAGGTCGGAATCCCCCAAACTCCCTTAGAATTTATATTTCTGCTGTGCGGGTTCTGATTATTTCGTCACCGATCAGCTGTCTAATCTCAATCAGTGCTGACAACATGGCACCACGAGATAGGAACAAGAGGCTTTCCATCTTGATACGTTGAGTGTTTGTAAACAGCCGGAATGTTTATGCATCTGCAATTTTGAGTTTTGACCTCGGAGCTACTCTGGCCGAGGTTACAACTTCACTCTTTAAAGTCAAATTCATCTCGCCGGGGCTTCACTTGTGTAGTGATTCGCAAAGGATTTCCTCGCTCTTGGAAGTAAGTCTCATTTTATCTCTCTTTGAAATAGAAATATGATTATTCGTTCGCATTTGCTTACTCATAAACCACTAGCAAAGGCCCAGAACCAGGTATCTCCAAACATGGTTTTTTTCTTCTTTTTTTTTTTAAAATCAGAATTTCGCGGTGTTCAGAATTGACGAATAAGTACTACTTGGCTCCAGCCTAAAACTTAACTAATTTCTGTGTACGTGCTTTTCAATGAGATAATTTTATCAGTGTGCTCAACAATAATTGTAATGGAGTCAGCAAAATGTGCCCGAAGGTGGAGACTTGACTTGTTAAGCTCTGCTAAATCCGATTTTGGATCAGAAATACAAATTTCCAGTTTTTAGTACTGAAATTTGCCCATGTAATACTTTTAAGAAGATTGGGTCAAAATTTCAATTCATAGGTAATTTGCATTCATAATACCGGACAAGAATGCCTGTCATGTTCTGTCCGTCGAACCAAAACACTTGTTTTTTCCGATTCCTCGGTGCTTTAGCACCCTGGAAAAAAGTTGTTTGGTTCAAAGGACAGAGAGCGGTGTAGGGATACTATGATCTTTGAAATGAAGAGTTTATTAAAAATGACAGTAGACGGCAATTTTTGCACAGTTTTCGAGAATTTTCTCATTGTCGTTTCCCGCAATTTAGAATGTCCTCAAACCATCAATTTTTGATATTTTTGGTTTTTGTGTTTGAGTGTCAAATCATACAGATAATCTCACTAAGTCGTCATTTCTTAAACCTTAAATTACTTTAAGAACCATCTTGCTTGACTCCATCACAATTTATATCGACAAGTTTGCATTGCATGCGTCAAGGGCATGTGCCTTGAAGGAATAAGAACTTTCTTCAAAAACGTAACTGCATAGTTGTGAGCCAAATGATAAGTTTGTTTTCCGCGATCAATTTAACCCACACCAATAATGTTTTGTTTTTCGCGATCCGCAGGATTAACGTGCGTTGACAGCAAAAGTTCTAAAGTTTCAGTGCATACTTCATTCTTTTATTCAATAATGATTGTATGTCGTACATTGAAAACCTTAGAAATTTTCGTCAAATCACAGAGAAAATTCATAGAAAAATTTAAAAGAGGTGTCATCTGTTCAATAGTAAATAAATAAAATGTCGAACGAGACTTTGCAAAATTGCAATTCAACTAAGTCCTACCTTTCGTCCTTTCTGTTAATGTTTTATAAATCAGCCGATTCAAAATTTCGGCTAGCCAAAAAACCCACGTCTTTCCCGATAAAATTGGCCGTATTTATGCTAGAGGGAACAAGAACTATGTTGAAATAAATTAAAGGAATTTAGAACCATGTACATAAGGGATTTGCGTGTTTTGTGGTTTCCTTTGATTCAATTTATGTGAATGAAGTTTTTTTTATTTTTTTTTTTTTATTCAATTTGTGTAGTTAGTAGTTAGTAGTTAGATAAAGTTTCCTTTTGGCGTGTATACGGCTAAAGTATTATTGAAGGATACTGTTGACCGTTAAAAGAGGATTTTTCATGAATTTCAAAGGTTTAATTTTTCTCTAAAAATAGACCACCCTTTAATTTTTTGGATTTTCAAAATTCTAGCTCCATAGTCTCAAAATTGTTCCTGTTAAAAGTGAATCTAAAATTGTCCGTTTAAATCAGGAGGATATAGTGGTCATGCACATTTGTTTCGGGGCATTACCTCTCGACCTTTACAACTATTCTTTTCCTATTGCTATGTTGTAATATATGTGTGCAATTCATTTGAAAAAGAAGGCGTTGTCTAGTAATCTTGTTAATATGAGCATACTGATCAATACTTTGTTCAACAATACATAGTTAGATAAGACGAATTTTGCTGTGGACTAGAAAATTTTGAATTCGGAACTAGAGACTAAAAGTTTTCTGTCATTTCTGCGGAGAAAATCCTCATAAGTACCTGGTAGGCCTCATTCTGTGGTGAAGATACTTTTGCGCCTTCATTCCGATAGTCAGGCAAAAATACCTACGCATCGGAAAAGTCGAGTACTCGAGCGATTACCATAAAGAGTGTGAGTCTCGTTGTATCTTGATTCGTGTAAGAAATAGCAATTATTAGTATTATAATTATTCAATATTAGTAAAAAGTCGGTAACATTCAGTCGGGTCTCGCATTTGTGGTTTCCGAGGGACAGAACTAATAAAAGTTTATTATTTCTCTTTTTTCAGGAAGTGCACTTGCAGGCAACATGCGCAGTTTCCTCTTGTTGAGCCTATTAGGCCTTCTCGCCTTCAGGTGAGTTCCTCTCTCTTCCATTTTTCTCTGATCCTTCCTCTCTCCAAAAGAGTGAGAGAAAAGAAAAAGTATTCACATGTCTAAAGAAGGCGGAGTCCTTCTTTGTCTCTGCGTTGGCTGGTGTTTGACTGTTGAAAATTAAAGATTAGCAAAAAAATAGGATCCCTCTAATTAAATACAATTTTCCACTTATATTTACACGTTTTCCCTTATATATTTTAAGAATTATTTTTTTCGAATTCAGTTTTAAAATCAGTATCGAATGCGATATTTTCCCTCTAAGACAACCACGCCTTTACTACGTTGAATTTGTTTGTCAAAATTGGTTTATGAATCCTTCAGTCTCCCGACAACAGAATTGCGATCTCAAAATTCGAGAAAAATGACGAGTAGCTGGAAAAATGGAACCAATCGATGCGATATATTGCATGTCCTTCTGCACGGGAAAAAAAACTTCGTGCGTGGGACCCAAAGTTGAGGTCATATGGATCTTTGAAGTTTTCGGATCACGTATCTAAAAACTTGAGGTCGACCTGCGAAGTTCGGGTCAGACATCTGAAGTACTTCGATACATACCGAAGGGTTCGGGCCACACATCTGAAGCACTCCGGTACATACCGAAGTGCCTCGATGTCTGACCCCCGAACTTCGGCAGCTCGACCTCAAGTTTTCGGATGCGTGATCGGAAAACTTCAGAGATCCATATGACCTCAACTTCGGATCCCACGCACGAAGTTTTTTCCCTGTGTGACACAAAATATTGCGTCCATCGAATCACCTTAAGGTGATTCGTCAAGCTCAAGTGACGTGCTCGAACTGGCGTGTGATATATCGCAATGAATAGGTAAAAAATCTTTTTAGATTTTGAATTTTTAGCCAAACAAAGGACGATAGCCCCTGCGCAAGAGTCTAAGGAATCATTCTAAGGCCAAAAATCGGCAAAATTCAGAGAAATTAAAGCAGAATAGTATTTGGAAAAAACCTCGCATTCGATACAGATATCGATAGCTGAATCGAATGCGAGGTTTTATCCCAAACACTATTCTGCTTTCATTTCTCTGAATTTTGCAAATTTTTGGGTTTAGCATGATTCTTTATGCTCATGCGCAGGGGCTATCGTCCTTTTTTTTGCTAAAATTTCAAAATCTGCCGAGATTTTTGACCCAATCGATGCGATATATCGCATGCCAGTTCGACCACGTCGATTGAGCTTGACCAATCACCTTAAGACTTTATACTTGCTAATATTACTCTACATTGTAAATTGTAACTAACTTGTGTGTGTGGGTGTTTCAGCATGGCGGACGACGACTACGAGGTGCCAGAAGACATGGTTGAGGAGGCGGAAGGAGCAGCGGAGGAGAGCGAAGAGGCGGCGGCGGCCTCTGTGGCGAACGAGGTGGGGCCGAAGCCGGAGGCGCCGACGGCGCCCACGTTCGGGGGACTGGGGGCTTTTGGGGCCCTGGGGCTCGGCGGCGGGAACTGCGACTGCGGCGTCTTCCTCACCGGTTCCTTCACCAAGGGATCCAGCAAGCAGCCCACCGAGAACCCTGCCCTCGAGCACGAGTGCCCCGAGGAGACCGCCTGCAACGCCATCGGACTCAAGCAGTGCACCAACAAGTGCCTTGATGTGGTCAGTTTCTTCCTCATTTATTTTTTCGTATAATACAAAAAGCGAATTTTATTCAGAGGTTCGGTACTACTTTTGTGCCAAAGCCTCCGTGCTGCCATTCTATTTGAGTTCCAATTCGGTGACTAACGAATCTCAACGTTGGTGCTTGATTTTGGTACCACCTCGCGAGCACTGGAAAAAAAACACATTGGATCTGGAGTCCAGACTCTTAAAAACATCGACAAGAAAAAATACTCTTGATTCAATCGGATTTTTGCTTAAATCAAGAACCAAGCCTCTTAATTTGAGCGGATTTCCTTTTGATTTAAGCTAAAATCTGATTGAATCAAGAGTATTTTTTCTTGCCAATGTTTTCAAGAGTCTGAACTCTAGATCCAATGTGCTTTTTTTTCCAGTGCAAAAAGCGAATTTTATTTAGAGGTTCGGTACTAATTTTGTGTCCAAGCCTCCGTGCTGCCATTCTATTTGTGTTCCAATTCGGTGACTAACGAATCTCAACGTTGGTGCTTTATTTTGGTACCACCTCGCGAGGTGGTTCTAAAAAAGGTTCGACCTATCGAAAACCAATGGATCTGAATGGATCGAATCTGATAACCACGGTGGAAAATTGATGTTTCGACTGTAAAATTCCACGATTATCACGTTTTTCGCAATTTTCAGGGTGTTATTCCATGTGTCTCATTATATATAAACATTTCCCTGATGATGGAGCTCTTGCATGTGTCAGAAATTTGCGATTTAATTGATGATTCATACGTAAAATTTCGCGAGAAACACGATGGTACCACTGCTTTTTTTCTGAAATCAACTCCAAAGCTCAAAAAAAGCTCTCCAAGTTGAGGCTGTATTGGAGGGGATATCCCAACCTACAATGAGAGTCCACCTCTATATCAAGACAAACTCTCTACACAAAGAGAAGGAGCAAATACATTAACAGGTTGCCACTATAGCCGAGGACTCCAAAACTGAAAACACGGCAACCCTGCTAATGTATCTGCTCCCTATTTTTGTATGGAGAGTTTGACTATAGAGGTGGACACTCAGGGTAGAGTGGGGTATCCCCTCCCCCATTACGGCCTCAACTTTAGAAGCTTGTTTGAGCTTTAGAGTTGATTCCAGAGAAAACCAATGGCATCATCGTATTTCTCGCGAAATTTTACGCGATTTTATGTACTTAAATCCCTCACGCATGTAGAAGCTCCATTGCCGATATTACCGATCTTCCGGATTGCTAGGCCATTAACTTGTGTTATTTATATCAGTCACTGTTAATATGACACGTAAAATTGAGAAAAAAATTAAATTACTTACTTGCACAAGCACAGTACGTACATTATCAAGCTGACGCACTTGGACGCTTTTGCAGTGGCGATCCTTGAAAGTTGGCAACACTGTTTTTCCTCCATTTAAATCCATTGAAAATATCGCTTCCGAGTGAGGCAGGCTGCCTCACCAAGAATCAATTGTTATACATACATTTAAACGGAGAAAAAAAGTGTTGATAACTTTCATGAATCGCCACTGAGATTTTGGAATAGTCAGCCAATTAAGACTCAACTAGACAATGCTCGCGCGACAACCCTCTGGTGAAAATTTGCGATAAGAGCTGCGTTTCAAAATACCATAGGAATTCTTATAGCCGGCTAAAGAAGGCTACAGAAAATCATATAGCTGGCTGTAGAATGCGGAGAAAATCATACGGCCGGGCTATACGAAGCGATAAAAAATTATGCAGCCGAGCTATAGTTCCTATCGCCGATATATCCATGATCATCTATTCCATCGATTATAAAAGGCTATAAGAAATTGTGTAGAAATTCGTGTGCTTTGGAAATCATTAAGTTTGATACGGAGCCACCTTAATATTTACAAAACACACATTATATTTTCCTTTAATACATACTTTTTTTCATCAATTAAAATGAGAATAATCCATACAGGATGTGCAAACATTTCAAAATCATAAGTTGAAAAACGCTGACTCCGCCAGATTAAATATTAGAGCCTAACTCAAAGCGGAGCGAGCGCAGCGGCGCGGCGACGCACTAGCGCCTACAAACCTAACAGGGATACTTCACGCATTGCGCAACGCTTGAAGAATCCCTGTTAGGTTTGTAGGCGCCAATGCGTGTTTCGCGCTGGCTGCCCGCCTGCCACGGCGCTTGAAGCAACTATTTCACACCAGAGGTATTGCACAGTATCATACGAAACTGAAGGCGCTCTAATATATTAGTAATGACAGGCATCCATCAAAAGTATGGAGCTTTCCTCGCAAAATAAATCAAGATACTACGGCCCAAAAAGAGAGCAGTATTCCAAAAACTCACCAAGTCCTAGCATCCGTAATTAGTAACTTTTAGCATACACTTTATCGCTTGGCTGTTGCTTAATCGCCATCGGCTATAAAAGGCTGTAAGAAATTGTGTAGCCGGCTATAGAAGCTATTGGAAATCTTACAGCCGGCTGTGGGTCTATGCTATTTTGGAACACATATTCTACTGCCAATTTTTACCAGGGCCTCCTTCTCTAATATAATGTATATTTATTTTGTAAAAGACTGAAGTGAAATTCTGCAAACCAATGCTGGCAATAGGCAGCCAAGAAAATTGGTTGCCTATTTAACACCCTTTTCTTTCTGTACCAGCTCGTGAAACACTTGCCGAACAGCCCGACGATAATCTGCGGAGCGATCGACCGCGAAGTCTACAAAGAACGCGCCTACCTTTGGGTGAAACACTGCAACACAACCCATTGGACCAACACAAACCTCTCGGCCGGCAGGGAGTACTGCTGCAAGGACAACGCCCCTTACAAATGCCCCGTTGTCTAAACGCAACATCTCTCTCCACCATCCTCCTTGTAAATACCAAAGTCTAGTCCTAAGGTTTCGTTAGTTTTTTCGTAGATTTTTTGTATAAAATATAATATATTTTTTTTTTTACTTCAATTTATTTTCACTGAATACCAATTGTCTTGGTGACGATATATTAATCAGAGTTGTCCACGCAACACATGCACATTAGTTACATTTTTTAAAATTTAGGTTTATACTTAGTTTAATTTGATTTCTTGCGGAAGATTCTTCCTTTTGCAGTGGCGTGGCGTGAATAATCGATTAGCGATATCTCGCCATTTGAAGCTATGGTAAAGAATCGATTACTAAGGTGTTCGCTGCGAACACCCTGATAATCGATCTTTTTTCATAGGTTTAAATGGCATAACAATCGATATATCGCAATTCACGCCACGCCACTGTCCTTTTGCAGACTTGGCTTTAGTCTGCTGTGTGGAAGTATCCATTGCCTCTTTTTTTTCTTTTTTTTTTGTATCTTACGATTGTGTAACGACGATTGAGAAACTGCTTGCTCCATTCAAGCCTAAGTTTACGAAAAACAAGTACCTAGTATTTCCTAGTGTCTCTCCAAATAATCTAATCGTAGCTTTTTTAAAGGACCTCTCTAATTTTGAGGGCCATAAACGGCCTAATTCCAGGACAGAAGTTGAACCCACCTTGGACTCCTTAAACTCTAGCTTTTTGACGATGAAAAATTAAAAGTCACGAAAATCATTGGTTTTGGCAAGTCATGGAATCCTTTTAAAGAAAAAATCGTTGTTTTTCATGATTCATGCGGATTTAATCTAGGTTTATGATCGGATTTGATCGTCAATTATCTCAGTTAAATACATTTGTTGGAAAAAAAAGAAGAAGAAAAAAAAACAGTCGATTTACAACAGTCCAGGGGCGGACCCGACTTCGGCTCCAAGGTTGCTTCAATTTTGGCCCATTATGACATCCCACCCTATCTTGGCTATTTTTCTTTTTCTTTTTTTTCTTATAAAATTCGATAAATATCTGCCCGTAAAATACAGCCTTGTTGCTGTATGATAATATTCATTTTAATTTAAATTGGTTAGGGAATTTAATTTTAACTATTATCATTTATATTGCTCACGAAACACATCACAGTATTCGCAAAAGATGCATGGTGATGAGCTTCTTGCACACCCTTTTAAGGTTTTCGTTTGATTTTATTTTCATGAAATTTCTCGCAATTATTTTTTATTTTTTATTTATTTATTTTTTTTCATCTTTACTAACGTCTTTATCCTCTGATATTTTCACTATTGAGACTTAGTTCAACAGGGAACCTAGAACATGGCAACACGCTATAAAGAAAATTTAAAGGTTCCCGTGGCTTGTTACCGGGATAAAGCTGCAGTTTATTTTTTTTTTCGATTTTTATTCAATATTTCACACCTATTGACGCTGAAAATGGTAAAGCAGATTTACCATGCTCAACTGATTCGTCAATTCGTTAAGTTTTTTTAGTTGTTAACTACGTTATTTGTTAATCGGTTTATAGGAGTTAATTTACGATCCGCTTGATGAGCAAAAAATGCAAACATAATTTGAGTTTAGAATTTAGGTTTAATTTTTGTTCTGATAATCGTACAGTCAGTTCCATTAGTTAATTTCCTACACCTTTTTTACTGAATAAAACTTATTTTGTATCAAAAAAATTTTTGGCTGAATTTCTATTTAATATGTTTACTAAAGTAATCATAATTTTGTCATATTCTCAGTGTATATTAATACCTGACGAGACGTTTAAAAGTTTGAATGCTAGTTATCCTACGCATACACGTATGTTTCTTGCCTCTGCGCCTTCATTCTAGGAGTAGGCCAGAATACATTCAAAGTGCCGTAATACTTATCTCCTCTATCATTTGAACTGCCAGCCTGGCAATGTCTTTCGCCAGTGTTGAATGGACAGTGTCTTGCAAATTACTCTTCCCTCACCCATCCCTGATTTTAATAATTTTGGCCCTCCGTTTTCTTATTCAATACAAACTGATTTTTTTCTTCTCCCTATTGTTTGAGAAAAGAAGGAACAAGTTTAGAGTTAAAAATTACTCAATTTTCCAAAAGGAATAAAAATGCGCATATAACTGCCAAATTTAGGGAGTCTAGTTAGACCCGGGACTCCCAGGAGCCAATGTCTTATTTCGAGCGCAATTTCCTCCGAAAATATCGGCTGATATACGCCGAATTACCAGTAGCGTGGCGTGAATTGCGATATATCGATTGTTTTGCCATTTGAACCTATGGTAAAGAATCGATTATTAAGGTGTTCGCTGCGAACACCCTGTTTATCGATCCTTTTCTATAGGTTTAAATGGCATAACAATCGATATATCGCAAAGCACGCCACGCCACTGCGAATTACATCTCTGTCGATGTTTAATCTGGCCGTAAAAAACAATACCCATTTCGTAATTTTACTAATTATTGAGCTGGTATTCAGGTCTGTCAGATAAAGTACCTCAGGATAGGGATCAAATAGGCTAGTTCCAATTTGCAACTCTTAAGTTCCCCCCCCCCCCTTTCACCCTCGAGGGCTCGGAGCGCGGGGAGTTTAAGCATGGGCGGATCCAGCAAATTGGCAACACTGTTCTTCTCCATTTAAACCTATGGAAATGTATCGATTCTTGGAGGGGCCAGGTGTCCCGACAAGAATCGATTATTTAACATGGGTTTAAATGGAAGGAATCCATTGTTGCCAAATTGCTGGATCCGCCCCTGAGTTTAAGGCTCCCCTTACGATAATTCCCGCCCTAACCGCATGTTAATATCCATGACCTTTCTCTCGAAGTATCCATACTCCATTACCAGGAATTGACAAACAAGGATTTCAAATGCTTAGTCTGGCATTTTTTTTTTACAAGTTACGACTTGGATTTCTCGATGCATAGTGCGATTTCGCCCTCATTGACAGTGATAGTAGAGACCTCACGCGTAAAAATTACATTCAGAAGTCAACGCTCAAATTTGCCTGATAATTACTGATGGACAGATATTTGAGTAATTAGTTTATCAATCCTATACTAATTTTCAGATGCTCTCTTAGCTGAGTTCTAACATTGAAATTCACGGGTCATGGCCGTAATGCGAAACCACATATCTCCATTGCGGTCTTTAAAAGTGCCCGCACCTATTTTATTTTTTCGACGAGATACAAGCCAAAACAGTTTGAAATTAAAACAGAATATTCTGCTAACAGAGAAGAAAAATCAAGGAGGATTTCAAGAAATTACGCTGAGTGGTGTTCCGATGAAAACATAAAGAAGGGCGCAAGAAGTCTGTAAGGAATCGTCCCTAAATTACTTGACGCTTTAAGGAAAGGGAGGGGGGTGAGGAGAGCATTACGCCACTTTGTTTTACGTGTTAAAGGATAGGGAACTACTTCACAAACGTGTTACAAGGAAGGGGGAGGGGGGGGGTCAAACATGCCGAAAAGGTACGTTACGTAATTAAAGGACGGCAACTGACGTCGCAAATGGAGATACGTGGTACGGTGGTTTCGCACTTTGATCATCGATTTGGTGAATTTTAAGCTCCACAAACTAGACCGCGTTAAACAGAGAGGAACCAAGCCACATCAGCTATTGCCAAATTCAATTAGGCAAATGAATGTTTTCCATGAAAACGGTTGTGCGGATTCTAGTTTTTTCTGTGAATATTCTCCATAGTACGCGGCAAATTTTTTAAATTTTTCAAAGAAATCCGCACAAACGTTCCCTCGTAAAAAATTAAATTGCCCAGTTAAATTTGGCAATAGCTGATGTGGCTTGGTTCCTTTCTGTTAAACGCGGTCCAATTCCTCATCAATAATAATCGGGCGAAAAGTAGCATTGACCACCAAACATAACGTTTATTTACCTCACCCCGTACTGCCTCTGGTAGGATCTCGATGTAATTGTGAAATGCGTGATCTCAGCCTCCCAGACGCGTTTTCTGGAATAAATTCGATTTGAAGGTTTCAATATTCAGTATGCTTCGAGATGCTGTATTATAATAATGATTGTTCTCGACCCGCCAAGCCCCGCCGAGCCCATGATCGGGGCGGGGGCCAGCCCCTCACCCTCATCAGCGCAGCGTTTGTGTCTCTGACAAGGCGGGCGGGGGCGGGGCGGATGGAGAACCTTATCTATTTTGAGGAGTTTCAGGGAAACGCCTGCGCCTGCGCCGAGTACTTCCGGCTCCGGCCTAGCTCTAGATGATAAGTGTTCTGCGGCTGCGCAGTTGCCATGCCGTCCCTCTCGGGATCCTTATCAAAATCTATAGATATAATTTGGCAACCTTGGTCGCGCCACGGCTTTGCAGAGACACTAAATCGTATTTTCGATAGTCTTTCGATGCATCGTTTGGTTCAAAACAATAGAACACAACCTCAAACAACTCGTATTTTTTTTCTTTATTTTTCTTCTTTTTTTTTCATTTTTGCAGGTTTAATTGCTTATTACAGCCAACTATAGACAGTATTTTTATTGTCAGTGGACATCATGGGGATTTTGGTACATCCATGTTACGGCTTTCAAATTTTCAGGGATTAAGGTCGAGTAGAATCCGTTTCTTCAGAACCTCAAACAAAAATTATGGGATTTAAAATGGAAAAGCAGAAAATGAGAAAATTCCTAACAGCCACGTTTACATATTGAGCCAATTGATATCGATACAATCCCACCTGTTAGATGTATCGAATACTACCTATACATTTGGACCGCGTTTAGCAGAACGGAACCAAGCCACATCAGCTATTGCCAAAATTTAGCTGAACAATTTAATTTTTTACCAGAGAACGTTTGGGCGGGCTTATAGTGAATTTTTAAGGAATTTGCTTAGTACCGTGCAGAAAATTCTCTAAAATTTGAAAAAAAAAATCCGCATAACCATTTAAAAAATTAAATTGCCCGATTTAATTTGACATAGCTGACGCGGCTTGACTCATTCCTGCTTAATTTGATCCATTCTAGAGACCATTTACTAACAACTTAATCAATGTAATTAGGTGAGGTGGAGTAGGAAGGGTAAAAGTACTGGTAACACGTATAAACAAGGACAAAGATTATGATACCACTATTCAAACTCTTGAGGACGCGTATTGCCTACCCTCTCAATTTAAGGAAAATTGAATGCAGGAAGCTGCACCACAAACAAAGTTTCACAGGGCAATATTCGCACGGCAATTTCTCCGTAAATGAGAACTGCGTGAAGAATTTGAATTACTGCCATTAGATTGTTAGACTTTACTTCAAATTCGTTTTCATTTTCTGTTTCTGTACTTAAAACTCTCCTCTTTTACGAAGAATGGGTTTCATTGAAATTACGGAAAGTGTAAAGCACGATAGTAAATCTTAATCCACCGTCTGAACCATGGATTTAATTGAAACCACACATTGGAATTGCAAGTTTGCATTTATTGCGTTTGGTCACGTGCACTTCTATTAGTTCATGGTTCTGACGAATGCACTATGTTTTGAGTCACCATTTCTATAAAATTTGAGCCTTTTTTAAATATAATTGGTAAATGAGCTACTTTTCAACTCAAAACAACTCGAAGAACAATGAAAGAATTTACATAGTTGGGTTCAAACCCAACATGCAACTATTTGAACTCGGCGGTCGACCGGGTTGCATATGCTAGATTTTGCGGGCGAAATATGCGATCTGCCTACGGCTCACGCGCGCTCGCGATATAGTATACGGGTCTCGCGCGCACATACTCACCGGTGCGATCAGTGTTTTCCCCGAGTGTATGCAACTCGGCTCATGCATGAGTTAAAATGTTTTGTCCAAACCCAAATTCGTGTATTCTTCCATTTTTATTATGTTCAGTGGATTATTTAAATAACGAGTTTGGCTTTCGGAGAGCATCTCAGTTTTTTTAATATCGCGTCAAAAATCTGTGCGACAGAAGCGTCCGAATAGTTGACCGGAGCAGATATCACATTCGAGGAAAAAAACCAATTGCACCACTGTATTGTGAAAGCCGTGGGCAGATCTCAGATTTCGCCTGCATAATTGAGCGTATGCAACCAAGCTCACCGCGGAGTTAAAATAGTTGCATGTAGGTTCGAACCCAACTTCGAACATTCTTCCATTGTTTCACGCTCCGCTCATTATTTGAATGGATTCAAATGCAGAGTTTATTTTTTGGGAAGGCGTCCCATCTTGCTTACATCGCGAGATTTTGTTTTTATGTTTTTTCTCTGTCGACCGAGGAGCCTGAGGAGAAGAAGTTATTCGGGATATTCTCGGATGATTCTAATTCCGAAGGGGGCACATGGAAAATGACGGAATTACTTAATTATTTCAGAACAGTTTTTAAACAGAAAGTCGTGTTTCTTGAATTAATTGTTTGATGGGAAGAATAGAAACTAGAATAATACTTATTTCGCTTCACTTGGAAATGACGAGAGCCTAAAATGTTAGTTCCTTATCCGGAAATGCAGTCAAGTTGCTCAATTCTCTTCTCATGATCAAGCCATTGTGCTTTCATTTTTTTGCTGGATTGCATTTCTTACAACGTTCTCGTTATAATTCTCACCAGGCTAGCAGTGACACATTGCTCCAGGGGACGAACTCCGTAGTATCTTAAAGTTTTCGTTTCATCGTCAAAGACCCCAGATTTGGAACTCAAATGCTCATGCGGTGGTCAAGCTGAGAGCACGGGCATGCCTGCGCAGTTTAAGATACACCTACAGTTATAATTTTATGATCGCTATAAAGTTCAATTTTTTTCGTCTGTCGGTCAAGCTTCCATACGCTGTAGCCAAATGTCCTGCAGAAATTAATATTCAAGCACTAAATTCCCTAAAATGTTAAGTTCTCCCGTTAAGTTCCTTTTAAAACGCTAACTCAAATGTACGCCGCCTAGCCGCTACGTCACGTCGGGTCGCTTGATCCTTATGTGCTGGTTACACGCTCAAATTTCCATCAATTTCCGAGCAAATGGTGACTGTTGCGCACCATCTACCATCAAATTTCTGCGGCCTGTAAATATTTGATGGTAGATTATGGAGCTGAGGGGCTCATCCTTCATCTGATTGCCACACAACCGTGCTTATTTTATGTTTATTTCAATCAACACGCTGTTTTAATTAATTTTACTCATCAATTTAGATACCTAACTCTCGACCGACATCTTGGTCATCATTTTGATCGGAATTTGACGGAAATTTGAGCGTATAACCAGGCCATTTAGAGGACGTTTCGCGCTCTTGAAGGAGCGGTTCTGGGTCATTATTCAACAATTTAAAGAGAGCGGGCTAAAAGTTTTTTTCTGACTGCTGCAAAAATTGTCCAGATTAGTCAAGTTAGATCTTTAAAACGCACGATGCCAAAAAATGATACAATTATACATTTAAGTATATTTAAATGGGTAAAAGTTATCGACTTCATCACTCAATATTAAAACACTTGGGTCATATTCTAAAAATTTAAAGGAGGCGAGCTGCATGGTCATAAGATTAGATGTATCTGCCGACAGCAGCAAAAATTATGCACTTCATCCAAGAATACCTCTAAAACGAACCGTGACAAAAAAAATTGAAGAGTTGTATGTATACCATGATATGTTAATTAACGAAAATTCTCGAAAAAAGAAAAGAAAGAAAGAAAGTAGTAGTAGTAGTAAAATAATTTTATTTTAAAGCGGTGCTTTAGCATCTAAGGCCATTTACACCTCTAAAGAGGGCAGTAACAGTAATAAATTTACATGGAAATATCAGTAAAAATTCAAAAGGGTTGAGGGGAAAGGTTAAATTTTGAGATTAGTGGAGCGCATAAATTCAAAAAGTTTCACAGGATGAGTATTCAGAAGTAAATTTTTAAGAGAGGGTAAGGGGTAGGGAAAAAAACGTTTTCGGATATCTTTATAAAGTGGGCAACTTATAAGAACGTGATCTACCGTTAAGGGGGAATTTGGACAAGAAGTGCAAGCAGGACGGTTTGATTGGGTCATCAAATAGCTATGGGAAAAATTTGTGTGACCAAGAAAGAAAGAAAGAAAGAAAAAATATTCCTGCATTAGTGTCAACTAGTTACTTGCATGTCACGAGAAAGTTACCTCTCATGTGTGGCGTCAAAGTTCGTGACAATTTGAAAAACGCAAAATTTCAGCCTGCTGTTTTTTCTGGGCATTCTTGCTTTGATACCTTAGTCTTTAAAGTCTCGCCATGGTCGATCGTAAAATTACCTTTAAAAAATATAAAAAAAACCCGACAGGCGGCAACATGTGCGTCCGTTCTTCTGGCGCGGCACTACCGTGGCGCCCCCAACCAGCTGGAGCGGGAACTACTGATCGAGCATGTGTTCGAAACGCGACGCGCCTCCTTCAACCTGAAGCCAGTTTCCTGTTTGCGCGAAGCGGGCTACGATCGTCGACCAAGTGGTGACGCGTCCATGTGACTGTCAACGTGTTTATGACGTCAATTCGAGATTTCGTTACTTTTTTGCATCTCAAAATCCAAACGCTGTCAGCCTCTAGAAATTGCGTAGAGGATCCGAATGTGTGGTTCTAGCATCGAAAGCCCTGAAATTTTTCATTTGCCCCAGAAATTAACGCTGACACAACAATTAATGTGAATTTATCATTGATAGTGAGTGTTTTTTCGTCAATATTCAGCTTTAAATTTTCATAAAAAGTGCGCAATACGCCGTGAATGTGTTTGACCGGATAACATAAGGCTCCTGTGTTCTTTAAATATCCTGTATGCTTTAAAAAAACAAGTTCGAGTTTTCCCCGCCTTTTTAGAGGTATTTTTTTTATATAGTATAGAAAAAAAAGTGTTTCAAAACCAGTAGCTGATCACGCCCCATCGTGACTACCTCAGTAACTGTTTATTCCTTTCAACAGAGTGGGATTCGCGCAGTTTTTTATGGAAGTGTTGTCTTTCCGATCGTGGCTCCTCAACTGCGTCTCAGACCGAATTCGGAACGATCTTCATAAAACAGCGCTCGAGCGAGTCATGTAAACAATAAAGAAAACGCATTAAGTTCGGCAAAGTCTATCGTCACCCATGCTTTGAGTCATCGTCTCGAAAAAGGGTGCCCAATCGATTCGATTGTTGACATCCTCGAGATTCGCTCGCTGAAAGCAAAAACTTTCGCGCTTTAGTCGGAGTCTTCGTTATCCCACTTATACCTCGATAACTCAGCCGTCAACGATCCGGTACTTCTCCCGAGTTTACAGTGCAAGTTGCACGCTGATTTCTGTCGTTTCGACGCGAAAACTTCGACACCTCGAAATTGATAACAGTTCGCGCAAGAGAGGTCAGCGCTGAGTCACGGTTGAGTGAATACGTTTTTCGCGCGTCTGGAGTTTTTTTTTTTTACCGGTGGCGATTTTACAAGTGCGCCGTAAAGTACAAACTTTCATGTTCTGAAATTCGACGTGCGGATACGAGTGCGACATTTCGAGCGGCGTGAGTTGTGGCGTTTCGAAATTCGATCGCGTGCGAGCGTTCCCGAGTCACCGGTCGGGAGGAGACCGATTCCAGGTCGATCGGAAGGTTCTGGCGCCGGAAATATGTCTTGAGGAGTATTACTTCACGGAGCCGGTTGCAATTTTGAAAGCAGAAGGTAAGAATCCCGCTCATTTAAGCCTCGAAATATCCGAGCGAGCGTTTAATTCAGTGGTTCTCAGATCGATCCGGTGGGTGGGAGGGGGCTGAGGTTTGGAATCGAGTGAGCGCCGGGATTAATTGATGATTCATAAAAAGCTGGCCGGTTCTCTCTCCGTTAGTCATCCTTGTACGTGAGGAGTCATTAAGAGGATTAGAAATGCACAAATGCAAACCCCTGTAGGATGTAGCCTTAGAGAAAAAAAGGAGTTGTTTGTATCCTGAGGATTGTTTACATCGTGGTGTAGGTCGGTACAGGTGCTGTAGCAAAATCCGGAATGGAGATGTTGCATGTGTGAGGAATTTGCGATTTGACAATTGATTTTTATGTAAAAGTTCGCAAGAAATACGATGGTGCCACTGGTTTTCTCTGAAATTAACTCCCAAGCTCAAAAAAAGCTCTCAAGTTGAGGCCAAAATGGAGGGGATATTCCACACTATCCTAAAAGTCCATCTCTACTTACATCAAGACAAACTCTCCATGCAAAGATAGGGAGCAAATACATCAGCAGTGATGCCGTGTTTTCAGTTTTAGAGTCCCCAAATAAAGTGGCAGCCCTGTCAATGTATTTGCTCCCTATCTTTGCATGGAGGATTCGTTTTGATGTAGAGGTGGACTCTCAGGATAGCGTGGGATATCCCCTCCATTTTGGCCTCAACTTGAGAGCTTTTTTGAGCTTGGAAGTTAATTTCAGAGAAAACCAGTGGCACCATCGTGTTTCTCGCGAACTTTTACATAAGAATCAATCGTCAAATCGCAAATTCCTCACACATGCAAAATCTCCATTCGAAGTATGAAAAATCGACCAAAATTTCCGATACGTCGATCGCGGTGTTTCAAAATCTCAGCTTATTTGTTAAATTTTTTCAAAGGAGACTAAACCAACATCATGCCTCGAAATTTTTACGGAACATTCCTTTCGCAGAGAAGAAAAATTACCGAAGTTTTCAAGAGATGACGTTATACAGTTTTTTCTTTCAGAGAATATAGCGCGCGATAAAGTCTGCAACGTCACAAACCGGGTCACACGTTTCTGAGAGGGCATCCTCGATCCTATTACGAAAAAATACCTAGCCGGGAGGGAGGATTTTGGATGGTTCGTAGAAAATAATCAACGGGAATTCATAATAAATCATTACCTTGTTAGTTCAAGGACAAACCCCGGTAGCTAAATTCAAGACTGACATAAACACCATCGGCCGCACAGCGCACTCTCCTCCCACTCAACTTGAAGAAGTCAGTAAATTCAGGTTTTTTTTTTCGGCAGCTCCTCCACCTTGCGATGGCTCTGAGAACCACTGGCTCGATACGGTCACATGTGTTTTCTTGTTTGCTTTATTTATGGGTCGAGTGCTTGAATTTTTTACGGAGCACGTTATAGTCACTGACGCGCTTCTTTGGCATTTCCGAATTACTACCGAACCCAACTGTGCCGATTGTCCGCTCGACCCAGAGATTTTCACCAACAACAACTGACCAAAAAACTTCCCAAGTTTAGTATTGGTTTCGTAATAAATTTGAGTCGTTAAGACGCTTCAGACCGAAAAAGCGCAGTGTTTAAACCCATAAATAAAGCACAGCTCATTAAAAGCTTTATGTTACGTACATTTCCGGAAGAAACGTATAATACAGATGGGTGGAAAATTCCTCCGGTTCCTATACAAAATTTTACTTGGGCATCGTTTATACAGCGAGAGGAAATCGCAGGCAACATTCTTAAAAAATAAGCCCAGTATAATAAGCTTGTCTAGAAGCATATTGTTTTTTAGTACTTCTAGCATGTTACTCCTCAAACATCAGTCGAAAATACTAATGATCCGTAGGAGAAAACCATGTAAAGTTGTTAATACTGCTGCTTCACTACCAAAACAAAAAATCAGTATCAACCAGATTTTCGAAATAAAAATTTGTTGATTTAACTCTGACGGTTTAAACGATCCCACGAATGTAGCGAAATATGTCTTTTTTAAGCGAAACATAAGAAGGAAACATAAGAGTTGTTGTTGAAGAGCACTGAGCACTTTAAATGACTGATCTTGTGTCACACGATATACTGTTTTGTGCAACGTAATAGGTTGTAGATGTCTCGTTCTTGCTCGAGCGTTTGTCGCAGGCAAAGAGCACCGCATGATCTCCCAAGTAGTACGGTGCGATGAAAATATTGAAGTAAAATTGCGATTCAACGCAATAAAGTTGCTATATTTTTGTCATTTTTAATATAGTTTTGTCAGTGGATGCCAATTTCAAACAATCAAAAACAAATCCATGTGTCGGGGTTCGTAAACAATTTTTAATGCAATGAAAAATCGCATCTCATATCAATTTCATTGCAATAAAATCAATACGAGGCACTCCTTCAATCGGTAGATAGGCAAACGTAGACAATATTTTTACTTTGTAATTTAAATTTATTTTAATCTTTTTCACTTGGGTCCTGGCTTGCGATGCATGAAATGAAAAGTCCTTTTCGTTGCTTTGGTGAAAAGTAAAATAAAATATCCTCCAACACCCTGTGAGAGTCTAAACAACGACTGGTGATGCGTTTGTCTTTTAAGTATTGAGGATTTGTTTAGTATATATTTCAGTTCATACAATATTAAAAAGTAAAGAAGGGCAACACGCACCCTGCGCGCGTCCCAGCTCCTGCGGTGAGCGCTTCGCGGGCCCCCATGCGTGATTCTAAATAGTTCTTCAGCACGATCTATGAAAAAAAAAATGACAATTGAAAGCATTTGAATGGGAAAAATTCACTACACAGTTCACTGTGCCACATGAGATAAGAAGAACCAGGGTCATTTTTCCTAAGTCTGAATGGAGAAGGCTCACCTGTCACCTGGCTTTCACCTGTTTAAAGCCACAAAAATCATGAAAATCGGCCCGGTAGAACGAACTGTGACAAAAAAATGGAAACTTAGGGTCCCAGAGAACTTACAGTAATGATGCAATTTTTTTTTAAACTTCATTTTTGCACATAATGCTCTCTTTGGGAGCACAGCCGAGCAGGTCTCCAAAATCCTTTGTCTCGGCCGAGGAGCATTTGATGACTGCAGAATTCGGGCCATGTGTGTACTATCGAGCTGTCAGACTCACAGCTCACCCTCACAGATTTCCGTGGGCTGGATTCCTTTGAAGTTGAAGCACCCTAAACGCCAGACGTGTCTACACTTTACAAAGAATCGTAGTTCCGTGATTCCTCTCATCCGGGTCCCCGCCCCTCACCCTCAGCCCGCTCCCGGTGGTGGCGCGGCGCACGGTGGATCGAGTCAATAGGAGAGGTCGGACAAAATTCGGAAACTTCAAACACTTTTAATTCCGTTTATACACAACTTTGAGGTTTTAAAAGTGGCTCCATTGGTTTCCTCGTAAAATTTACTTTCAGAGGCACCCCTTGAAACTTCAAATGTGACGAAAGAAGCATTAACATTTGCAGTTTTAGCCGAAAATTTCATGTCCGACCTCTCTAATTGACTCGATCCACCGTGCGGCCGGCGCTGCGCAGCGTGGTTGCTCCAGGATCTCAGGGACCGGGTGGGATGAACCGCAGGCCGCCGNGGGGGGGGGGGGGGAGCTGGCTCAAAAAACGGAAGTGGTTGCTCCGCCGTGACGTCACCTGCTCGCGGCTCTCTGCATGCGCCCTCCAGGGCGTGAACACCATGGTCGAGACTCTACCCTTCAATGATGCCAAATTATTAGTTAATGTGTTGTTTATTGGAGTGCCCCCCCCCCCTCCATTGCTTCTCCTTTGTTGTGTAATTTGGGGCTGCAAATATGCACTGGGAAAAAAAAAAAAAAAACACATTGGATCTAGAGTCCAGACTCTTAAAAACATCGACAAGAAAAAGTACTCTTGATTCAATCAGAATCTAGCTTAAATCAAGAACCAAGCCTCTTAATTTAAGCGGATTTCGTTTTGATTCAAGCAAAAATCCGATTGAATCGAGAGTATTTTTTCTTGTAAATGTTTTTAAGAGTCTGGACTCTAGATCCAATGTGTTTTTTTTTCCAGTGTGGTTATCATAGAGCTCGTCCTAATTGCGGGTATCGGAAGCGAGACAATTTTTACAACATAGTAAAATTATGACCTTTTTAATATCTGAGTATGAACTTTAGTACCCACACCAATTAAAATTAAATACAGTTTTATTCAGTTTACACGAGAGCTTATATCGTCGTCCCTCTAATGTCCCTATTTCCACGTGAACCTGTGGTCCGAGTTACTTAATGCGTCTCGGGGCTCATATATGAAAATTGAGCTACCCACTCACGTCGGATCAGTGACGATTTAATTGACAGGGGTTTTTTGACCGACCCGTCTTTCGTAAATCGGTATTCTCTAGAAATGCAAATTCTGTTCAACCAAGCAAAAGTTTCGGCTCGTTCGAGTGCATTTTTTTTGCCGAAAAAATTATGGATAAAACTGCGAAAATCCCGATTTTAGACAAATTGATAAAATTCCAAACATGAAAAAAAAGAAGAAAAAAATCATCACATTCACTCGGCCCACCATCTGTGCTTTAAGACGCGACTCGCGAAAATTCGAATGCAATTTTTGGATTAAAAAAAAATGAATTGTAGGAATCGAAATGAATGAATTTGAATTTAAATGAAAGACATTTTTTTTTTTTTATGCAATTTTTTCTGTACCTTCCTGTAATTTTGTTCCATTCTCCTGGGGCGGAATTTTGTTGGTCCGTCCTCCGTACTTGAAAATACTCAGGACGAGTCTCGACCGCACTCGAGTACGGCTGCGCTTCTGATTGGCCGGTGGTGCGGTTTGGACTCATCGATGGTGTTGCACCTTCGTGCGAGAGAGCCGACGATATTCGGTCTCAGATTTTTCTGGTAGTTCTGATTTTCCCCAATCCCCCCAATGAATTCCCCCATGATTATTTTGTCAGTTATATTTCGCAGTTTCCCGCACGAAGGAACGTAACTCCTTAAGACCTAAATACACATGG